CTGCATTGTGGGGTGGTTATGATCGATTTTGGCCAAGAAAACTATGCTAACACGTTTATAAATAGAAAAAGATGGGGATTTGTGCGTGCACTCATGCTTAGGATTATATCTGTTCCTTAGAGAGATTTCTACCGGAGAAAAAGAGAGAACTATCGAGCGGTTATCCCAGCGCAGTATTTTGGTGATCAAATCCGTCGAGCGGTTACTGGCCAGGGGTACCGGTAATCGAGTATCTGGTTGCGGTGATCGGGTATTTGTTGCGGTGATTGATCATCTGGTTGCGGTGATTGAGCATCTGCCTACAGTGATCGAGCATCTGTTTGCGGTAATCGTAGTACGTGTGATGGTTATTGGGAGTCCGAGTGAGTTGATCAAGTGGTACAAGCGGTTACCGAGAGTCTGTTGCGATGGTCATGATTCCAGCTTTTACCGAAACTGCCTCATCGGTGATCGAGCGACGCTGTGATTATGCGTATTGTCTGAGAATCTGTCTAGAGTGATCGCACGAATGAAGTTCGTGATCGAGAGCAGTTATCGAGCAGTACATGGCGGTTGCTCAGAGTCAGTCTTGGATGATCGGATCAGACCGGTACTGTTAGTTGATTGGAGCGGATGGAGTCTGGTTAGTCTGTTGGTCGGAGCGGATGGAGTCTGGTTAGTCTGTTGATCAGAGCGGATGGAATCTGGTTAGTCTGTTCGGGGTGTTCTGGTGATCGGAAAGATCATGATTCTGGTGTTTTGGTAGTACCCGTGGGGTAACACGAATGTTCGGTGTCTGATGTGTAATCCGAACATCTCTTTTTGTACTCGGTTATGTGGGGATGGTTGGTTGAGTGACTTTGTACGAAGGGAGATGTTGGATGCGGCATTAGTAGCAGATACAAGGGAGTGGTGATCGGAATAGTGACGATGGAAGATCGTGTCTTTGGAGCTGAATGCGGGATGCGTTCATGGAAGCTTGGAGATCTGGGCTAAGGTACTTGTACGTATTGGCTTAACTTTGTAGAGTTTTCCGGCTGCGTAGAATCGTTTGAGTTAAGTAATTAGCTTGAATCGTTTTAAATCTGTGTTTTGAGAGTTTTCCGAGCAAATCGGTGAAGTCGCCGGAGTTTCCCTAGAATTTTGGGTCTCCGGTGAGGCTGTGTTCTAGGTGCCTTGTGGCCGAGTTTTTGCAAACTGGGTCGGGGTGTTTCAGCCTACCTGGCTCTTAGTCAAGATCTACTAAGACAATTCAATGAGTTCGAGTTGACACGAATCCCACGAGGCGAGAACATGTGGGCCGATGCATTAGCAGCCTTAGCTTTAACCTCCGACCCAAATCTAAAAGGGGTCATACCGGTCGAGTTCATCGAAAAGCCGAGTATCGAAGTTAGCAGCGAAGACAACATTTTAATGACTCGAGAAGCAGACCAGGAAGATGCATTCACCGAGCAGCACGATTAACAAACAGAAGATAGCATCGAGGCCGAGTATGGATGCGACATTAAATGGATAGGAGCCATCCGAAGCTACATAGCCGAAGGGGAAATACCAACTAATAAATGGGAAGCTCAGAAGCTCAAAGCACGGGCAGCTCGTTACACTCTACTCGATGATGATCTTTTCAAATAGGGCCTTTCCGGTCCATTACTAGTTTGCGTGGAAATAGCAAAAGCCCGTAGAATCATGGAAATCACTCCGGCGAAAGAGCCTTAGCCATCAAAATCAAACGCCACGGGTACTTCTGGCTAACGATGATCAAAGATTGCGAGTAGTTCTCTCAACTATGCGATAAATACCAAAGTCACGCCCCAAAAATCCATCAACCAGCCGAGCTTTTTTCCTCGATCACCTCGCCTTACCCCTTCATGCACTGGTCCATGGACATTATCGGCCATTTGCGCAACTCTAAGCAGAAAAAGCTAGTCCTCGTCTTAATAGTTTACTTCTCCAAATGGATAGAAGTAGATTCATTCGCCAGCATTAAGGACGCACAGGTGGAAAGCTTCGTCTGGAAAAACATCATATGTCACCTCGGGATTCCTTATGAAATCGTTACCGACAACAGATCCCAGTTCATCTCGGCTCGGTTCAAAGGATTCTGCGACAAATAGGTGATTTGACTCAGCAAATCCACGCCTCGGTACCCCCAGGGCATTAGGCAGGCAGAAGCAGCAAACAAAACAATTCTCGATGGCTTGAAGAAACGCCTCGATGCCAAGAAAAGCAGATGGGCTGACGAATTGGAAAGAGTACTTTGGTTCTATAGAACGACACCGCGTCGGGCCACCGGGGAGACTCTATTCGCTCTGGTGTACGGTACGGAATGTGTAATCCTTGCCAAACTCGAAATACCAGGGATACGAAGGTGAATATCCCCCGAGCAAGAAATGCCAATACCCAGATGATGCTCGATGAACTGGACCTGATCGACGAAAGAAGAGGTAAGGGTTTAGTCTGTGTTTAGAACTACCAAAACGCAACGGCTCGGTATTATAACTCACATGTAAAGCATTGACGTTTTCACGCAGGAGATCTCGTGCTTCGTAAGGTCTTCCAGATTACCGCCGAGCTAAACGAATGAAACTTGGGGGCCAATTGGGAAGGACACTATGCAATATCAAAAGTCGTTCGCCCCGGTGTGTACGAACTCACCAACATGAATGGCAAAGCAATTCCATGATCCTGGAACGCTATGCATCTTAGGAAATACTACCACTAAAACCTAAGGTATGCGTAAAATTGAACTACGAGGTGGCTTGATCACTGAAAATGGTACGTAGGCAACTTGTCCTCGGACGAGTTCAGCTACACCCCATAAAAGGGGGGGGGGGGAGGGAATGGGGTTCGTATATCTATACTCCCACTTTTCTTTTAGAACTTCTACTTCGAGTTTCTGCTTTCCTTTCAAACTTACGCATACACAGTTCTCATCGGCGATGGCCATGTCCACGAGCTGACTTATCACTTCCACAAGTATTTATTACACCGCCTCAGTCACAGCGCGCTATATAAGTATACAAAACAGAATCTGATCGGGAGTACCTGAGAAGACTAAAATTCTGTTTTTCGAAACCCCAGTTATTCCGCACACTGGTGCCCCAGACAAAGACAAAGACTTCGCAGGATGGTTAAAACAATATGTTGAATAACTTATCTATATATCGTCGGATATTTTTTTTTAGTTATTTTATGTGATATATTTTTAGTCTAATTAGTCATTTTGTCTTCTACATGTACATTATGGGATATAGACATATCCTGTTTGGTTTTACGAGTTGATCCAAGGCCCTATCACACGGATTACAACTGCACCCATATACTTCACCTGTGGATATGCTTTTCATGTGAAAGCTCATGGTCAAAATCGGACAACAACAAACTTTGGTATTTTAGTTAGTGGTGAAACATGTTATTAGGGAGTGCTGCAGGAAATCATAGAAGTACAATATCCTGGGTTGGTTAATTTGAAATGCATATTATTCTAATGTGATTGGTACGATCCTGTTATCGGCCGCGGTGTGAGGAGAAACAATCTCGGGCGTTATTGATGTCAATGCATCTCGAAGGTATCGAAGATTTGAACCTTTCACCCTTTCCGCTCAAGCTCAACAAGTCAACTTCATTCCATATCCAAAGATTCGGCAAACTGGGTTACCATGGTTATCTATCATTCAAATTTCACCTAGAGGATGTATTGTTGGTGTCTCTGATGAAGTACCATTACAAAACACACAAGGAGAGATCCATGTTCCCGAACATACAGTAGAAAGCATCATACTTATTGACCAGAACAATCGACAACTAGAAGAAGCTGGTGATTATTCTGAAGTCGAAGATGAAGACTATGATGAGTTTGATGAGAATTCGGAATCAAATGATAGTTGTTCACTACAAGAAAAATGGCTTTTCGTAGCATCCGAATAACGCTATCTAACTATTGCATAGCGTTTTGACAAGCGCTATATCTGCGCCCGTCATAATAAGTCCGCCACTTTCGATAGCGGTTTTTAGCACTGCTATTGTATCTTGGTCAAATATAGCGTTTTCTTTTATGTAATTGTATATCTTACAATAGCAATTATACTTTGTTACGAATTGTTTTATTTATAGCATTTTATATATGTAACAATTCCTGTAATTGTTCTCTAGGTTTTCTTTTTTGATTTTTTAGATAATTTGACAAATTAAAAAGAAAAATGTCATATTTTATTACATTTATATGAAAACCATATACAAAAGACCTATATTACAAAGTAAAAGTACAAATTAAAAGATAAATTTCATACAGCTCTTGTTTTTAACTTGTGAATTCTTCACACCCTTGGACCTCTTGGACCTCCAATCTTTGAAACTTCATCTCCGATATCATCAACATTATTAGCTTCCTCCTTTGCCAAGAGAAATGTCCTTAGGCGCCTCTTGCGTACCATGTCTCCCACGGTCATGTTTTCATCATGTATCTCCTTCTCCTGTCATATCCATAAAAATGACACCATTGTTTATTTCTCTTCTCAAACTCTTTCTATATCTATATCTAGTAATTAAACACTAATATATTAACATGAACTATATATAACCTATGTTATGTATTTATTAAAAGATGTATATCTCTAACATATAAGTCACTCATACATACGACTTGAGAGATACAATGCTACCTTTCATACGTGAGTTGATTCTGGATACCAAAAGGCCAAAGCTTATTATTTATATGAGACAATCTCTATACAATATTTGACTATATATATATATCCACTCAAAGTCAAAAAGAGTTAGGCATAGAGATCGTTATATTTACATACTTTTCTGGAGCGAAAGTGTTTGAGGGCAGTCTCAAGCTGCTGCTCTAGATTTTGGAGATCCTTGAATCTTATTGGTTCCAAGTCTTCTCCCTGAAAATAGAAACAAAACCTTAATTTGTCCAATGGCCTCCTATTTTGATGCAACACAAAGAAAACCTTCTAGATATTATAAATATAGAAAATGAGCAAGAGCAAAAAACATAACATACCATAAACTAAAGAAGACAACTTTCATTTAGTATTTAAGAGAAAGAGGAAATAACTTACAACTGGAGCTGCAAAAACACTTTAAAGCTGTGGAGCTTGGTATATAGAACCATTCAAGAATAAGTTAGCATTGGTGTGACTTTCTCGGGACCATTCCTCTTCAATTCTAATCATGTCATCTTCCTGCAAAGGATTACATGACCTTACCAATGGTTTCAATCAAACATTGTGACTAATAGCATTTGAATAGACCAAATTCAATCAATGGTTTTAATGTTTCAATCTATCTCCATTATCCAACAGTATCTTAAGAATTAAACATAACCCAACTCTTATCGGACCCAAACTTGAAACCGTGTGAGCTATTAAAGCAAATAGAAATTGGAAAGTGAAACGAGTTAGCGAGCTTACGAAAGGCTGCACCTCACCCTCTGCAGAATCACATGACATCAGACTGTGTCTTCCTCCATAGCTTGGATACATACCTAGGGTTCACCAAAATCAATCGAAACATTAGGCTAACTAATTCGCAACAATAGATCTGTAACACATACATCATTTGAACAACAAAGGAGATGCTAAATCGATTCAATAAAAGAAAGAATGGATCGATTGATTAAAACCCACAGTTCTGGAGGAATCAGAGTAAGAAGAGGAAGATTCAGAGGAACACGAGGGGTGCTGGCGACTATGGTGTCGTTTCAAGCTAAGACGAGTGAGTCCCTGTCTCGCTTGCTTCGACGGTGGCGCTAGGGTTCGATTTCGAAACGGGGAGTAAAAGAGAGAGAGCAAGGACATAGTTTTTTCTGTGATTAGTGAAGACGGCGTAACTAGGATGGTGGCGCTAGGGTTCGATTTTGAAACAGGGAGTAAAAGAGAGAGAGCAAGGACGGCGTAACTAGGGTTTTTGTTTGGTGGAGAAGAGGAAGTGAAACAATGGAGTGAGAGGGAGAGTAAATGAGAGAGGGAGAATGAAAATTTGTTAGCCGGTGTCTTTTTTCACTAAGTATTTAGCGGGCAAATAAATAATTTTATCCGCGTTAATAATACATAGCGTTTCAAAATATATTAGTGCTATATATTTTACATATCTAAAAAGCGTTTCCAAAATTTGGATCTTACCAACTAAACATAGCGTTCGTAAAAGTGCAAACGCTATCTAAAATCAAGAGGTATATCAACTATAGCAAAAACGCATAAAATGCTATATTATACTGCTATCAATATCTCATTTTCTTGTAGTGGTTCTGATGATGAAGAATATGAGGATTAATATGATTGTATCTTCCTTATTCACATATATGTTATCTAGCAGAAGGAAACATTTGAACGGCAAACTGATAGCATGCCCTCTTCCCGAACTAAGAAAGGTACGAAAGAGTTTCTTGTCCACACATCAAGAGTCTCATAGGTTAGAGATTTCTTAACATGCTTGGTTAATACTTCATTTTGCTTCTCTTTATTCATCGTCTCTTATTTTTCTCGCTTCGTTCATAGAAATGGAAAAAGAGGGAAACGTCTTTACATGTTTCAAGACCCGTAGTGGAGGCATTATTTCTAATTTCAAGAAATGGAATCCTACTATTCGTGAGTAGTATCTAATCCACTCACACCACTCCGCCAAGGTTGATTTCCCTTTCGTGAGCGGTCAAAACTCATTTCATACGTAGTGTATAGCTTACACTTGAAAAAGGTTACCAAATGTGCATTATTATTTCGGATCCTTGTTAAAATTTACATAATAACTTGTTGTTTTGTAGAAGCAACTTAAATATCCTATCTTCGATAATCCTAGTGTTCATCTTCCTTATCGGTCTTTCCAGTACGGTTACCTACATAACCAAGTAGAGTTATGAGTAATCTAAGGTTACTCTGTGAGCTGGGTACACTAATACGCATAAAGATAACTAAAACACCCATGTCCTGCAATCTTAAAGGGGGCCGGATTGTTTTAGGGAAAACTAGATCATTGACGAGAAAGACCAATGAATAAGTTAACATAAGGAAGGAATGAAACGTTTAGGTCATGGAAAAGGTAGCTAACTTAGACGGTTTCGGAATAATCTAGTGATCATGGCGAAATGGTCATGGAAAGATTAGGAGGGGATAATCAAGGCCAGAAAATGGACCGAAAGACGTAGCTAAAAAGAACAGACAAAAGAGTTTGACCTAATCCAGCTAGGTGAGATGGACTAGCTGGATGAACTAGCTAGCTCAGCTAGGTGAGCTAAACCAGCTGGAGGACTAGCTAGCTCAACTAGATGAGCTGACCGCCAGCTCAACTAGGTGAGCTGACCGCCAGCTCAACCGAGCTCGATGAACTGATCGAATACTGACCCAGCTGGGTGGTCCGATCAGCTGACACTCGAGCTGGTGAATTGTGGTGGCTTGGGGATGAGGAGGTGTTTTAGCCAAAAGGTGCTTAAGGCCGAGTGGTTACCGACGAACCAATGTCTCGGTCAAAAGGTGCTTAAGGCCGATCGGTTACGATCAGAAAGATGCAACCCTTCGGAAGGTGCAAGGAACGGATGTGATGCTTCGGAAAGGCAATCATTCGGCCCAATATAAAGGGTGGACGCCCAATAGGACTACATACTACACAATAACAATCACAATCCATAAATGGTCCTAAACACACCACGAAGTTGTTGATCGGAAAAGGGGTACAGTTCAACGAGTATCTCGGGAATCAGAATGGATTCTCCAAGCCTCGGCCGAACTAATGCGTATGCTACCTCCCGATCCAATGGTTCGATGGAATGTTTGGATGGATTGATCAGACCGATCGTCGAGAGATGGATTAGAACGGATAGATCGATTGTTGGAGATTATCGGGTCAATCGAATGATCAGGTTGTTTTATGATCGATGCAATCGACGATTCGACCATGGGAGGGTATATGCGGATCAATCGATGCTTTGACCCAAGGTTTATATAGGCGGATTGATCGATCGTACATATCGGCAGGATGACCAATGGTACGTGAAAGACCCCAACCCGGACTCCCTAAGTCCGAAGAGGTTCTTCCCGAACAAATCACTAAGAGATCCGATCCTTAGCCAAATTTTAGGGTTCATTCCTTAAGACAATCCGTTTTATATTATTCCGTGATTCATATTTTAGAGTCATTATGCAACCTTAGAGTAAAACAAACGATCGGATACTTTATTAGATAAGTAAAGGATTCGATACAACTTATGAGTTTGCATATAAGCTATTACAAGTCATATAATCGATCCTATTCTACCCGATTCACCACCACCCATCTTTCCGGCCATGAGTCTCTCGCGCCTAAGCCAAATCCTTTCCACGATCACCATCCTTTCCTGAAACCAACAAGGCATAAGTAATCGTCTTTTACTTAGTGGATGCAAGTCCATGCAATGCACTATACGTTCTTATAATCCTTTGGTCCAGAGAACGGATCGGAGAGAGGAAGTAAGCGCATCAGTTCGGCCTAGAACCGGTAGATCCTTGCGGATCCGCCGATTCCTTGCCGAGCCGCCTCCCCATCTCAACCAAACCGTTACTCCTTACAAAGTATGCACGATGTGAATATGCTCATGAATGACTAGGCCGATCAACGAACTAATCAAACAACCCACAATATTCTAGCCCTTATACCATCCGCTCGTCCGGAGATTGTAATCTCCGAGACATTACCACGGCTTTACACCCACCTTGACTACACGGATTCGTTCGGTGAATGATCCGTGTTGCCTCTCTCGATCGCCGATAGAACGCTCGGCTCCGCAAACTCTCCTTTTAACCGTATTTCTCTCGGCAAATGCCTTAGAGTTTCTCTGGATTTTTAGGTGTTTGCGCGTGTCTTGAAAATGAAGGAATCGCCTTCTATTTATAGTTTTTACGATCAAAACCGTTTTTTTCCCATAGGTGCCCGTTCGGTGGAACACGCTTGTTCGCATAGGTTCGTTGAAACCGCTCATTCATGCATCTTTGACCAACCGTTCGTTCGCGTCTATTCGGCCGATGTATGTAACCGTCAACCCAACCGCCTTACTACCTTCCCACCCGACTAGCTGACCTAGCTAGACTGTCACTCAACCAGCTGACCTTCACTCCGTCCAGCTTAGGTGAGCTACCGAGCAGCTGGTCCAGCTGGTTAGCTCAACACTTCCAGCTCGTTTCAGCTTGTCACACACTTCGGAAGCCATTCTATCCGCTTCCTTTAGACTTAGCCCGAGATTCCGCTTTTCCCTCGAACCAAGTCTTCCCCGGCGATCCTATTGAGGATCGCGGGTGTTACAAGTCTCCCCCCCTTGAATGGGATTCGTCCCCGAATCCGACTCAAGTGGATCTTCATCCATCTCCTTAAACCACTTAGGAAAATCGGCCTTCATCTTATTCTCCGTTTCCCAAGTAGATTCTTCGCGGCCATCGCAATCCCACAAAACTTTTACCATGTTTACCTTTTTCCTTCGAGTACCCTTCTCCATTCAATCCATGATTCGAATTGGTCTTGCTTCCACCGTTAGGTTTTCTTTCAACTCGGAAGGAATATCTTCTACACGCTCCTCGTGTTCGCTTAGACATTTCCGAAGTTGTGATACATGGAAGACCTTGTGGAATGCATCCAACTTTGGTGGTAGTTGGAGTTTGTACGCCACAGCCCCTACCCTTTCAATCACCTTGTATGGACCAACGTACCTTGGACTCAATTTCTTTCTTGTAGTAAACCGCCCTTTTCCCTTATAAGTCACCGCCTTAAGATATACTAAGTCTCCCACTTGGAACTCCAACTCTTTCCGACGCTTATCCGCATAACTTTTTTGTCGGTTTTGGGCTTCCTTTAGTTTTATCTTAAGGAACTTCATCTTTTCGTTGGTTTCATCCACAATCTTCGGACCAAACAGCATGCGTTCGCCCACCGGTGTCCAACATAGCGGTGTCCGACACGCTCGGCCGTACAACGCTTCGTAAGGCGACATACCAATACTAGCTTGATAGCTATTATTGTACGCGAACTCCACCAACCTTAAGTACTTCTCCCAATTACCACCCCAATCCAAGACGCATGCACGTAACATGTCCTCAAGGGTTTGAATCGTACGCTCGGATTGTCCGTCCGTTTGAGGATGGTAAGCTGTGCTCAAGTTCACCCGTGTCCCCAAGGCTTTTTGGAAAGCCTTCCAGAAATGCGACGTGAAACGTGTATCCCGATCCGACACAATGCTTGCCGGAACCCCATGTAACCGGACTATCTCGTCTATGTACTTTGCTGCGATCTCCTCGGCTCCATCCGTTTCAGAAATAGCCATAAAATGTGCGGACTTTGTTAATCTGTCCACCACAACCCAAACCGCATTGTGTTTAGACTTGATCCCCGTAGGTAACCCGGTAACAAAGTCCATTGTTACATGGTCCCACTTCCATTCCGGCATAGGTAGATTTTGCACCAATCCACTCGGAACTTGGTGTTCCGCCTTGACTAGTTGGCACGTCGAACACTTAGCAACCCATGCCGCTACGTCCTTCTTCATTCCAACCCAATGGTAGTATCGTTTCAAGTCTCGGTACATTTTACTCGATCCGGGGTGGATCGAGAACTTCGATTGGTGCGCCTCTTTGAGGATTTCTTCCTTCAACTCCTTATCGTTTGGCACGCATACCCGACCATTCACCACAATCGTACCATTGTTAGACGTTTGGTATTCCGTCTTATTGTTCCTTGCCCAATCGTTTATCTCCTTGTCTTTCTCTTGAGCCAAACGAATTCTACTAAGTAGATCGGCTTGATCGGCCGCACCTAATCCCAATGGCTCATAATCCTTAGACAATGCATTTAAATGCAAAGTTCCCATCATGTTGACCAAAGCCTCTTGGTTTTTCTCCGCTTCTACTTCAAAACGTCTCCTACTTAAGGCATCCGCGACTTGATTTGCTTTCCCCGGGTGATATGCAATATCTAAGTCGTAATCCGCCACGAATTCCATCCACCTTCTTTGCCTTAGATTTAACTCCGGCTGGGTGAATATGTACTTAAGACTCTTGTGGTCGGTGAAGATTTGGACTTTAGCTCCGTAAAGATACGATCGCCAAATCTTCAAGGCAAACACTACCGCCGCCATTTCCAAGTCATGCGTAGGATAATTTCCTTCGTGTTTACGCAATTGCCGTGAAGCATAAGCGATTACACTACCCTTTTGCATCAATACGCATCCTAGTCCCGTGATCGATGCATCCGTATAGACCGTGTAGGGTTCACCCTCTTCCGGTAGCACCAATACCGGAGCGCTCGTTAGCATAGCCTTCAATTCCGAGAAACTTTTCTCACATTCCTCCGACCATTGAAACTTTGTATCCTTTCCGGTTAGCCGAGTCATCGGTTGGGACATGCTCGCAAAGCCCTTAACGAACCTTCGGTAATATCCCGCCAACCCGAGGAAACTTCTTATCTCGGTGGCATTCTTCGGTCGTGGCCAATCCTTAATAGATTTTATCTTCTCCGGATCGACGGACACTCCTTTATCCGAAACAATATGTCCGAGGAATCCAATACTCCTTTGCCAAAACGAGCACTTGCTTAACTTTGCAAATAACTCGTGCTTTCTCAACCGTTCTAACACCGCCCTTAGATGATCTTGATGGGATTCCCAATCCTTAGAATAAACAAGTATGTCATCGATGAAGATGATCACAAACTCGTCTAAAAATTCTTGGAAAACACCATTCATCATCTTCATAAAGGCTGCCGGTGCATTGGTTAGTCCAAATGGCATGACCACAAATTCGTAATGGCCATACCTCGTCCGAAACGCCGTTTTCCGAATATCCAACGGATCTATCGGAATTTGGTGGTATCCCGAGGCCAAGTCTATCTTTGAAAACCACTTGGCACCTCGAAGTTGATCCAACAACTCATCTATCCGGGGTAATGGATACTTGTTCTTCACCGTAACTCTATTCAATCCCCGATAATCAATGCATAGCCTAAAGCTACCATCCTTTTTCTTTACGAACATGACCGGTGCACCCCATGGTGAACTACTCGGTCTAATAAATCCTTTATCCAACAACTCTTCCAATTGTTTCTTTAGCTCCGCCATTTCCGCCGGTGCCATCCGGTACGGAGCTTTAGATATAGGAGTTGTTCCCGGTTCGAGTTCAATAGTGAATGGATCGGACCGGTCCGGTGGTAAACCACTCACGGCCTCAAACACATCCGAGAACTCGTTTGCGATCAGAATGTCTTTCAACTCCGCACTCGCCCCAACTTCGTGGGTTGTGATTGTGGCTATGTATGCCTCACACCCTTTCTCTAGCATCCTTTCCGCTTGGATTGCCGAGATTACCAAACTTCCCGAAGTTGTCCTTATTCCTTGGAATTTTAACATTCCTTCCTCCCTCTCGAATTGAATCCGTCCTCGGTGACAATCAATATGTGCCTTATACTTTCCCAACCAATCCATACCCAAGATAACATCGTGTTTCTTGAGTTGAACAACGATTAGGTCCGTAGGCATATTGACACCGTTAACTACAACTGAGATGTCCCGAACAATACCGGACGGGTACATTGCTTGCCCGCCGGCTGCTCTAACCATTCCATATTCGGTGTTCCGTTCTTTAATGAACCCACCCTTTTCAACCATCTCGGAACTCACAAAACAATGTGTAGCTCCGGAATCAAATAAAGTGTGTTTCCACATCACCTATACTCAAGGTTCCTACACATTTCCCTATAGTGCTAAGTACCTAATCCGTTTATGCACGATGAAATGCAATGCACGAATTAAAATAAAAAGCACAAAGGCTTACCAGTGATCGCCCTGAAGTTCCCGGCATTGCTAGCTTCCTCCGAAAGTTCGTAAACTCGCGGTGCTATAGCCTGCCTCTTGGGTGGAGGCGGTAACCCATTTCCGCTACGGTTTACCCTTTGTCCAGCTTGTTTTTCCGCTTCCAGCTTCGGACATTCTCTCTTGAAGTGTCCCGCTTTCCCACAGTAGAAGCAAGTCCTTTGCTCATTCACACTCTCTTTCGGAGTTCCTTGTTCCATCCGTGGACAGTTTTGGATACTATGATCCTTACTCCCACAACGCACACATGCACCAACGGCCCTCCAGCAAGTTCCGCTGTGATTCTTCCCACAAGTAGCACACTCTCCGCGCTTAGTATCCGATTTGGTGTCCTCCACCTTATCAAATTTTCTCTTCTTGTCCATCGGTTTCGTTGGCTGCGAAGGACGCGACGAAAACTTCTCTGGTTTCATCCGTTTCTCCTCCTCAAGCCCAGCTTCGATCATGGCTGCCCTCTCAACCAATTCGGACACCGAAGTAAAGGTTCGAATCAAGCAATGGTTACGGATCTCGATCCTTAGTCCTCGGATGAAACGACGAACTTGAGCTTGTTCATCCTCGAGTTCTCTCCCCACATATCGCCTAAGACGATTGAACTCTTCGTCATACTCGCGCACCGTTCGGTTCCCTTGAACCAAATCCAAGTAGGCGCACTCGAGTCTGTCCCAAGCCTCCGGTGGGAAGAACTTCTTGTTGAATTCTTCCTCCAAATCCGCGAAGGATTGAATTTGATCACCTTTCCGTTTTTCGACGGTTAGCCACCAGTTATGTGCATCCCCTTCCAAGAAGTGGATCGCAATACCTAAACAGACCTAAACACAAACTATATACTAACTAACACACCTAAAAAGTATTTAAAACAGACTAACCTATATACTAACTAAGCAGAGTCGTGAAACCTACCATGTCGTTCCAGGCTCCAATGTCGGAGAGATGACAGTGGTATAGAGCTCACGGCCTGGCACGGAAAGGAGATCATTTAATATAGCGAGCACATCCTCCCGGAGAGTTGAATCCCTCAAACCTTCTTCCTCCGATTCACCTTCAGTGTCATCTTCTTCATCTTCTTCATCCTCTACGTTTTGAGCTTGAGAACTGTGACCAGACACAGAAGCTCTTGCTCGAGGTTGATTCAAGGGTGGAGATTGAACCGGTGCTGGAGACTGAGGAGCGCGAGGAGATCCGGAGGCTAGCCGATGAACAGAGGACATAGACTGTAATGCCCCCGAACCGCTCTATGACCGGACAAGCCACGGGCGACCCGGAGACGTCACGTAGACAGCTCACACAGACGTTCCAGCAGAGGTTCCAAACGAATTCAGACCCTTAGCCAGACCATCCGCGCGGGCCGTCCCTCCAGACCGCGGTTTAGGCTTTTCAACCCTTACCGTGATCGCGAGTTGTGTTAGTCCGGACAAGACTAATATCGAATGAAACACACACTTTATAAGAATATACTCCTTTTAAATCATATAAACTTTTGTACAATAAGTATTCAAAACAACATTAACAAATGGCGCCGTGAGCTTACATGCTCAAATCGATACAACAATAAAACTCACTTAATTTTACAAAAGCAACAACTCTATACCGGCTTTCCTACGTCCTGAGCATCCCTCTAATGATTCCCACTAAGGTTTCCTGCAAAACAAAATGGAGTCATAAGTAATCTAAGATTACTTAGTGAGCTCGGATTCCCTGTAACAATCATTAGCTTAACCCATCCCAACAATAAATAACATCAAGCATAAACGATATACAAATATATCACAGAATGCACGCGGAAGCAACAACAAACAATCAAACAATCAAGATGCATGCTTACACGGAACAAGTCCGTGTAACAAGATAATTAAATTATGCATGCGAAACCAATCATCTAGACTCCTCCTGTGGGTCCTGATATGCTGCCTTCCAACCACCAAACCCGTGAACACCCGAGCTATAACCACAAAGGCATATAACCGGAACATCACTTCTATTCAAGTTGAACCTATAAAGGATATCAACAAGAGACATGCATCGTCATGCATTACTCGGCCATGGTCCCGAGTCTTATGTCAATTTATGTAAGTGACCAGCTAAGGATCAAGGCTTACTTGACATGCCGCCGAGGAAGGACAGACATACCCCTAGTCTTAATATGCTTAAGGCACCTGACATTAAGTCACGAGTACCGCATACTAAGAATGCAACACACAAGATACAATGAAACATATGGTTAAATATAACACATAGAATCATATGTATCTAATACAAATAACCACACAAGTACGGAATCATTTATGTACGGATCACAAGGATCGCGAACATGATTCGGTACCAAACCTGCATAGAGATTCAAGTTAATCAACTAAGGATAAAACAAGAATCTAACATGCAACCTCACACCTAAACGCACACAACCAAGCAATTGCTCGATGATACACCTAAGCACATCACCAAGACTTAGTAATCAACAATCAATAAACACAACAACTACCCAAACCTATCATGTGCCATATCACATGCTACGAGACTCACAGAGATTCGGCTGAAGGTTTAAGGCTTGCTTCAACGATCTTGGACATCCCACGGCTTCACCTTCTTCTTCTCACCTCAACTGAACTCCACAGATTCAACATCTCTTTGTAGTTCCCATCTTGATTCTTAATGTTTAACTCGGATTCATCCCTAAGAAATAGTTTTTGGGAGAAAACTAGTTCACGGGTATGATCGGAGAGAAACGGATTATCCGGCCGATCAGATCTCTCGGCAGGATCCTTGATCAGATTTCATGGTGACGGACAGCCTTTCGGCGATTTCCTCTTCTTTTTCTGCCCAAATGGTTCGAAAATGACGTAGTAGTTATAGGCAGCGGAGGGTTGAGTCAGCACGTACACGTGTCAGCCGTACGAACAGACACGTACGTACTGCGAATGTGATAACGACACGTGTAACATCCCCGATCCTTACTAGGATCGCGGGACGGACCATGGTCGGGAACAAAGGGAGCCTTGCCACGGAAAAAACTAAGGAAACTCATTCCATGGTCCGAAAGTATTGGCAAGTCGGGAAGGGAATGACTTAGCCAAATATTAAGGGAAAAAGGAAGAAGTCCGAAGCAAAGGAAAGAAGAAAACAGCTCGACGGAGCTAAGTGGGAGCTGGACCAGCTGCCGACAAGCTGGCGGGAGTGATGGTTAGCTCGGGTAGCTCGGCCGAACTGAACGGAGTGTTGAGCAGCTGGGTCAACCACCCAGCTAGTAAGTCGGTTACTTCGGGTAGCTCGGCCGAGCTGGATGGAGTGTTGGACAGCTAGGTCAACTACCCAGCTAGTGAGGCGGTTACCCAATAGGTATGCACCAAGCGTGTGGAACGGTTGGGACGGTTACTCGACGAACACGTACCAAGCGTGTAAAACGGTTGAGACGGTTACTCGTCCGAAGAAACCATCACATCTCATCTGTTCGATCAAAAGGGCGGTTACGAATGGTTTCTCGACCCGAAGACGTATAAAAAGAACCCTTGGGTCATTTTTCACGAGAGGAACGGAAAAAGGAAAAGGAATCACCGTAAAATCCTAAAGAATATCGAAAAGAAAGAGATTCTACGGGAAGTTACGAGCGAACTAACAATGGCGGGTGAAGAGATCGAGAAACCGACGGAGTCCGCCGGTACGAAAGAACAAGGACTACACGTGGAAACATCGGGACGTGTGGAAAAGGAAACGAAAAGGATCGCGGGAAGGACTTGGCTTAAGCGCGGAAGACGTGTTGTCCGGGATGATGAGTGGTGTAAATAATGTATATAAGTCTGGATGTGTAGGATCGAACGATTGTAATAGCATATAGTGCAAACTCTAATATTGTTCGAAACCGTTATAAATAAATAAAGTCCATATTGTTTCCGTTATTTAATTACATATCGACTCTTTGTTAATGAATCTCAGAATATTCACGATCTAATTTTATTAAGTACGAAACGGAAGTAAGTCTCGGTAACACTTAGTGTTTCCGAATGGAGACAACCTCTTCGGACTTGGAGTTTGGGGATGGGATGTTTCAACACGTGTCCGGCAAAACTTTGGCGCCAAGGGTGAAAATTCAGCTCTAAGCAACCAAACTTGGGCTCCAAGTTAGCCAGTCAACGGTCAATGGCTGGTCAAAAATGTAGGCGGGTCGATGTACGTCCCGCGGTACGATCGGTTCCGTCCCGCGGTACAGTTGGACATGCATTTCTTGATCATTTTCATTTGGATAAATATTTTCTCGATCAACCTTCGTCCAATCAGCCTTAAATCACATTTTGGTCGGACTAGACTCCGGCTTGCTCGATGAATTCTTTATAGAATCATTAGATCATCGATAGGTTATCTCGCGGTACGGTCACGGTACAGAGCTTCTCGATCATCTATTGCCCAAATCAATATTTCCTCGTTCCACTTCCGCCCAAACATCATTAAATTTGATTTCGTTCGGCAAAGACTTAGATCAGTAAAGTAAATTTGTTACGGAATCACCCAAACAGTTGATTAGTACCTTACAGTACGTCCCACGGTACAGTCGGCTGTCGTGCGGGTACGTCCGGATACGTCCGGGTACGTCCGGATACGTCCGGATGCGTCTGGCTACTTCAGGATCATTATTCTCTCGACCCAGCTTCATTTTGTCTCGACCAATCTTCTTTATTCTTCATTCTTAGTTGTTTTTCCATCTTCTTTTTATCATTTCTTGCTTGGCTATTACCCTTAAACGAGGGTCACTACACAGACCCTCTGACTTGAGTCGATCTGGATGCTCGAAATAGAGTCGATTCGGAGCCTCGAGGAGATCCACCAGATGCATGCAGAGATCCTTCGCCCGACAGGAAAAGCTGCTGAGGAGGTGGATACTCTCTCAGACTCACTCGCGGTGAAGGCTTGCGAATCTCCGGTTGCTCAGTCTCTGGAATTGGATCTTAATGGTTCGCCGGCGTGAACTCGTACTGCGGCGGAAGGCTTCTAGGTCTTCGACTCGACACACCGGAAGATGTGGGTCGAGTTGGGACAATGGGTCGCTTTGCCGGAGACTTCGGTCCCCTTCCTCTTCCTCTTCCTCTGGATTTTCCACCACGAACACGAGGAGCCATCGATTAGGGATAAAAGAAGTAGAATCAACGAGGAACTGGAGAGAAACGGAGAGATGTCGAGATATTTGGAGAGAATCAGAGAGATTTCGAGGAGATTTGTAGAGACTGTGATAGATTGTAATATGATCTTGGTTGAAGATCTATGTCCCTTGAATACACTTCGTGAGATTGAACGAAAACAGCTTGCGGATTGACTGTTTTTAGAGAGGTGGAGATCGAGTAGGTGATCTGGTGGACGTGTTCGAGTGATCTGGTGAGTGTACTCGAGTGGTCTGGTGAGTGTACTCGAGTAGGTCTGTTCGAGTGGATCTGGTGAGTGTACTCGAGTGGTCTGGTGAGTGTACTCGAGTAGGTCTGTTCGGGTGGATCTGGTGGAGTGAAATGAGTGAGATCGAGTGGTGAAGAAGATGAGGGGTCGAATAGAACTTCCAAAGGCTGCGGGATTCCTTTGAACTTCCAGGCTTGATTCTGCTTGGATATGACACACCAAGAGCAGTTTCAAGATGAGATCGTGATATTACACACACAAACTCAAGATCAAACGAATTCAGAAAGAGTTTTTGATAAGAAAATGTTTGATGTCGTTTACAATAGAGGAGAACCGAATATAAAGAAGAAGAAGAGAGTCTAGGGAGTTGAAGAGTTCACCTAGGGAAAGAAAAACGAAATAAACACACAAGACTAAGTTTAAATTCGAAATGGGCTCCTCCATGCAGATGGGCTCTGAGACATTAATGAGCTTGAGTAAAAGAGTGTGTGGGCTTGCCTCATTAAAAACCTCTCTTGGAAAACCCATTGGGACAAAACCAAGAGGAGGGAAAAAGAGTGCAAGTCACACACCTCCATTGTTGTCGCTTAAACGGCTTGAATCACAACCAGTGTGGTTGGACAAGCTTCTGGTTTAAGGCTGCCCTCAATGTGTTGTAGAAGTGTGTTGATAGCTTGATTCAACTGCTTAGTCCTTGATCTTGTCATTGGTCCAGTAGCAACTTGAAATGCAACGTCCTCTTTAGCTCTAAGAACTTCATCTCCATGCTCCTTAGCTCCATGCTCGATCACATCTCCAGCTTGGTGGTCGAGTATGTCCTCTGGTACATGCTGTTCCTTAGCTCCATGATCCAAGCTTTCCATTATCACATCAGATTGAGAGAGAATCAGGGAGACTGAGAGGGATTAGGGGTCGATTTCGAGAGAATTTGAGAAGAAATTGGTTGAATCGGAGAGAAATCAAAGGGTTAGGGTTAGGGTTCGTCAAGAGAGAGAGAGAATTGGGGATCTAGGGTTATAGAAATGAGGAATTAGGGTTTCCGCGGTAGTAATAGGGTATTTATACTATGGACCTACGCAGAAAATCTAATGGATCGAGTTAAAAGGCCCAAGAAGAAATTATAGTCGCTATAACGTGGCTAATTAGTAGCCCACTTTAGAGACTAAACATTCAGAAACTACTTAGTCGCCAAATTTGGCGACTATACAATGACTATTTTTATCAGTCGCCAAATGCAGACGGATTAGCGACTAATGTTGTTTGGGCAACATTCAGTCGCCTAAATGTCGCAATTCAGTCCTCAAATTCAGCGACCAATTTATCAGTCGCTGAATACCGTCACTAAATCCATGTTTTCTTGTAGATGCACTCCTTTGTTGTGCTTCCTCAGTATCCCAATACGCAACCATTATAGTCCAGATATCTTTATAGATCCATTTAGGTTTCTCACGCTTCGTCCTCGCAGTGCTCACCATATTCTTCATCTGGCGTTGACAGATTTCCTCGAACCACCATTGAACTGTCCCTGTTATCAAGGGATCCCAGGTGTGGGTTTTCTACAACACAAAGACATGAAGACCAGAGTGAGCGAAACAACAAAAATAATCTATAGATGTGAAGGATATAGGAAATACTCGAAAACAAAGTAAACCAGAAGTAAATACTCAGACTTGGTAAATGCTTTTTTTAACATACTGAAATACAGGTTCTTGTATCATTGAACACTTTAAACATTGAAAAGCAAACCAGAATACTCAAAAACAAAGCAAACCATAAACTATTTCTAACATACTTTCAATGATAATCAACTGTTTAGGTACTGATCATGTCACAAGCAAAGCCATACACTAAAACATCAACCTAAGACATTAAGCAAAGTGTCTACACTCAGACTTGGTAAAAACTTCTTTGAACATACTCAAATGCATGAAATGTATCATTGAACTAAGACAACATTGAAAAGCAAACCAGAAGCAATAAAAAAGCTGGCCAATAATCACACACTCTAACATTGCAAAGCAAACCGGAAACAATTTATTACATACTTTCAATGTTAGAGTGTACTGATTAGCTACTGATCATGTCACAAGCAAAGCCATACATTAAAACATCAAACTAAGATAATAGAGAAAGAAGTGATACGTTTAGACATCAACCTATACTACAACTGATACGTTTATCAATAGAGAAAGAATTCAGACCAAGTGGTGTTTTCTCTCGGTATTGGAGAGAGGACCGTGGTAAACTTATCCAGGTCTGGCACCTGAAGCAGAGCATTCAGAGCCTGTAGCGTTTCTTCCTCGAGCTCCGGCAACATTGGAGAAAACTCCATGAAGTTATTTCCTTGAGAAGAAAAAGTCAGACATAACAGTTTTCTCGATCCGATCGTACGGATCAATCCGATCACATACGAAACAGTCTGGATCACGTACGGAACCATCCGGATTCGAGAAATCGTCGTCCGTTTCCACACACATTCGGATTCCCTCTCGTCCTTACCCTTCAGGACTGCCCACAGACGTAGGAGGATGGGCGTTACAGAGATCCCTTATTTTAAATCATCCAGCATTTTTATCAATATCAGAGCAATTCAGTATTCTCTTGTATTTTCTCGAGTTTTTCACTATTTTCGAGTTCTTTTATTATAAAGGGCCGAATTTCTTAGAGAGTTAGGCTGCCTAGTCTATTTGTTCGAAGCAAAGAGAGTCTAGGGTTACATAAATATGGAAAATTGAAAATCTAAAATATATACTTAAATTTAAAGAAAAAGTAAAGAAATATTTATTTCATTCTCAAATTAAATTAGATAAATTATGCAATCAATTGCTAATCTTAAAACGATAAAGAAAAAAAAAACACAATTTATTTTTAATTGCCGATTAAAAAAAAAGAAAAACATATATTATTCACTAAATCATATTCAAATAAAAATACAAAAATTAAATTTGTCAAGGTTTCCGGTGTTAATCAACTACCCATCTCAAAAATAAGAAAAAAAAAACATAAAGAAAGAAAAAAGGAAACTAATTATCTTAGATGTCAATTCAGAAAAGAAAAAAAAAGTTAAATATGATTAAAAAAAAATCTTATTAAGTCATATGACTGTCAAGTAATATGTATTCTTGATTAAGACCATGTTGGATTTCCAAATTTCTTTGTGGATTATATTTTACTTGTTTACTAATTATGTTTTTTAAAATTTGTAAATTCTAACTAAGATAAAGATTTGATATTATGTTTATATTGTGTTTGATATAAAAAATTTAGGTATAATTCATTAAGTGTGTAAAGATTAAAATATGCATGGTTCATTATGATGATATAGATAGTTAAATTGTATTGGAAAATGGAATATGTGAGGTTCAAATCTGCTTTAAAAAATGATCATATAAGATAAAAAAAATATTAATTATTCTTTAGATTTCAAATATTATTATATTTATTTTCTAACCCGCGTATTTACGTGGGCCTTATCTTGTGTTATATAAACTACAAAAATTTATAGGATATCACATTTATTTATTTTTTTTGAGTTTTTCAGGTTTTGGATAAAAATATAGTTAAATAATTATTAACTATATGTAATTTTATATTATTTTTAATATATCGTAATATGTATATAGCCATATTAACTGTTAGTAAATCTTATTTAGTTTTTCCGATGAAAATATTTTGATGTGAAAATTCATGTACTTTGCATAGTATTATAAAATTTAGTTAGGTTTCACGTTAGCAAATTTGTGTGATCGGACCGAATAAACCTTTACTAACATAAACTCATATTCGGTTCAATATAAGAATTTATATATTATTCGTAACAAAATCTGTTTGGTTTCACATTAATGAATTTTTGTAACACAACCGAATACAATTAACTTTTTTACATCATGACTTAAAAAATTCCAGCTTAGAAAAATATTGTAAATTAGAATTTTAAAAGAAAAATCCTAAATCAAATTGTTTCTATTTATTATGTTTTAATATAACAATTTGTTTGAATTTAAATTGAGTTTATTAATAATAAGGTTTATTTTACCATTTATGAAAAGATGAGGGTTTAAAAACACACAAAAAAAAGTGAGGGTTTTTTATATGTTTTTAAAAAAGGTGAGGGTTTTTCTACCCATTTGATTGTAAACTTGCAACTCAACATCCATCTTCATCATCCAAAATTTATTGGAAAGAAGGTAGTGCTTCAAATTCTCAAACCAAACCTAGTAGTTTAAAAATTAAAACCTGCAATTTCTCAAACCAAAAGCTGCAAATTAGTTCGCCAAAACCTGCAAATTAGTTTACTAAAACCTGCAATCTATTACTTAGAATATCAAAAGCTGCAATTTCTGAAACCAAAATCTGCAAAATTCATTCACCAAACCTACAATTTATAACTTCGAAAACCAAAACCTGCAATTTCTCAAACAAAACCTTCAACTTAGAAACCAAAACGTGTAACTTAGAAAACTAAATTCTGCAAATTAATTCACCAAAACCTGCTAGACAAACCAACCCTGGATTTAGACAAAAAAAAATCTGCAAATTGATTAATCAAAACCTGCAACTTAGACAACCAAAACCTAAAACACAGACATAATAAAACAATGGTTCAAAAAGTAACAAAAAGAATTCAAACCCGGTCCTGAAGACAAGCCCACTTAAGCAGTGGTTTTGGTTGAATATGTTAACTTTAGTATTAACTTTTTTTTTTGTCAACTAATTTTAGTATTCATACATAGTATGAAATGCAGAATATTTTACGAAATCTGTAGATTAAAAGTTAAAAGTATTATAAACGTACATAAAACAAACCATAGAAACTTTTGGAATTAGAATAAACTAATTTTAGTATTCATACATAGTATGAAATGCAGCATATTTTAAGAAATCTGTAGATTAAAAGTTAAAGTATTATAAACGTAAATAAAACAAACCATAGAAACTTTTGGAATTAGAATACCTCTTTGTTTCATTGATAAAAAAAGTTCTTCCCTGCGAATGCATTCGTCGTCTATTTCCGATTGCTTCTTCATGTTCATCTAACTTATTTGTGTGGTAACAATGCATAACAAACAAAAAAGATAGTTTAAATCCATGGTCTACCAAAATTTAAATTTTAAATTACAATTTA